AAGTGCCTTAGCGATGGATTGGCCCAAGATTTTGCCCTCCGTGCTTAGCCTGCCAGATCCCCAGACTTCACCGTGTGAGATTATTTTCTTGTGGGAATATATTATTTAAAAGATGGCGTTTATTTCCCAACGCTACCCATTAACCGAGATGATCTTAAACATCTAATAACAACAGCGATCCACTCTGTGGACCCTGTTATGCCGAAACGCGACTGGGGTGAATTTTGATGTTGCCCGTGCAGCTGGTGACGCCCACATTGTACAACAGGTATTACAAGTTGATTGTGAGTACAATACTTGTTACTTAGATTGAGTGTTCTATTGCTTTTCCGTATTAAAATATAGTTCGCAATGAAATCGAATCGGTTCATTCTTTGTTTAATCATACTGTGTATCCTATACATCGGTAGATAGTCATCATCATCACCCATTGTCAGATCTGCGACAGACATCGGGCCATTGTGGTTCTCCTTTCATTCCTATGCTCAGCTGGATGCTCTTTAAAAAGTCAACGTTTCCCTGATCTTTCCCCTTTACCCATTTGTTTAGGTTCCCTAAGTAGTTTCTGGGCCTACCCCTGCCTCGCTTGCCCTCAAATTCGTCAGTGAGAGCTAGATGTTCAAGACTTGTATATCTATTCAGGTGTACCAAAAACTGCATTTGTCGTTTCCTGAATGTTTTTAACAGTGAGCGTCCACGAGAGTCTCATTAAGCACTACCTCATTTAATTTCTTTTCCTTCCACGATATTCTCAGGAATCTCCTAAGAAACCACATTCCTGTTGTTTCTACTTTATTTTCACGATCTTTAGTGATTGTCCAGCATTCACAGTCATATAAAAGGGTTGACCATACATAGCATTACAGAACTTTCATTTTGGTAGTCATTGAGATGTTTCTATTTTTCAGGATTAGCCTCATTTTATTGAAACTATCCTTAGCGGTAGATGGATATATAGATAAAAAGAGATACAGAAAGACATAGAGAAAACGAGAGAGAGGGAGGGGGAGAGATTGTGGGAGATAGCGATCATGTGATGGAAAGAGAAAGAGAGAGAGAGGGGAGAGAGAGAGAGA